GTGCATCCCGATGGAGAAGAAATAGCGGAACGGAACAGTAACGGAAAAGAGATATGGTGGGGGGTTAACCAATCAGAGTAGTTCCGTTTCAATTCCGTTCCGTTATTTAGTGAGTGGGTTCCCCTATGGCACGGAGCTGTTACGGAACGGAAAAGAAACGGAAAAATTTCTAACCTATTCTGTCGAAAGTTCGCAAATAAGTGCAGTGGATCGATCGGTTTGCAACATTTTTATTTTTGCAAATAAAGAGCAATATGTCGTCATCGGTAGGTATTACATGTGAAAATAAAATATATATGTTAAAATCCTATGTTAATATGTTAATGCTAATTAACCGAATGTGATATATTTTATTAATTTCCAGAAATTCAAATGTGGATATTGTCGCTGGATTGTTTCTAGAAAAAATAATTTATTTGAATTGAAAACATGGATTTACGTAAGAATAACTTTCTTTCTTCTAAACTATATTTTATTTCTTCTGATTCTGTTGTGTATGTGTGCACATAGAATTGAAAAAAATACTAAATTTCTTCTATTTAATAAATATTTGTGTGTTAATATATCGTCAAATATTCAAATTAATTCTATGTAGTTTTTCTTCGATAAAGTTTCATAATATTCTTGAAAAAGAACGTGTTCTTCTTTTGAGCACAAAATAATGAGCATTTCTAAGATTTGTGACGAGTATATCTTAAAACTATTATTAAGAAAATATTCTTTGTTGAAGAAAACTACTACTTACAATTAGAACAAGTAAAATAAAATAAATAATTGCTTTCCTTGGTTGTAGAATGATATTTTTCTGTGTGAAAACAAAATTAAAAACAACTGTCCAATTGTAAAACTTGTCGCCAAAATTATTGGAACCATTCGCATGTGTTCGAATACAATATATAACATTTTGTGTATCGATTATTATTATATAAACGAAATGTTCTCACTGATTTCGTGAGTTTGCTGCTGATATCTGCGGAAATAAGACGGCTGGTAAAATTAACGGTTGCACCACTGGTCCCATCACGTGCTCCACTTCTTGTGGCTCTTGAATCGGTGGTAACGGCGAATCCCAATCAGAATCCGTGGAACTGTTTCTCCAAATAATTTTTCTCTTTAATATGTATACATACATACATACATATACATATACATACATTATTTTCCCGGAGCGAGACGAGAATGCAATTTAGCATAATTTTGTTAATAGATCGCACACGAACGAAGAAATATGAAAAATGGTCAACTATGAGGAAAATCGATAAGGCGCATAACAATCGCGATGAGTGATAAACATAGACGAGCCGCTGTTTTCACGCCTTGGCAAAGAAGGACGCGTAATGTGTTCTTAGAAATTGCATAAAAATTTTCACTCTTGCATGCGATACAAAGGTGATGCGAAGGCGAGAGTGATCATTTTCATCATTATTGTATATTATCGATCTCATGTTGTCGTGTTGTATGTATCGATTTATGCGGATATACGTACTTCGTCGCGATAAGAACAAAGTATCTTAGCGCGTACGTACATTTATCCGCATAAATCGAAACATAATTTAGTTTATTTGCTATAATGAATAAACGATCGATATCTTTCATCGATCAGGAAAAGGTGTCCAATATAAGTTAATTCTAAACAGAAAGATTGTTTAACAATGCACGCGCAATTTTACTTACCTACTGACTATTCTCAAATCACTGCTAAAGTTATCGTAAATGCTGATCCTGCTGGATATAGGCGGTAACTTGTCGCAACTGAAGGACAACACGATTGGAGACACGGCGAGATCGCTGAGACTGCTACCAACATACGTAGTGGCTTGGATCTCTTGTTGATACATGGCATATAGATTTTGCAGATCAGGCGGAAGCGCCAAACGACCGTCTGTTGTTTAAATCCCATAAATTGAACGAAAGTGTTTAACTTTTATTTATATATATATAATCATGCAAAAAAATAGACTCTAAAATTACACGACATTATAATTGATATACTTATAATGTCTCGTACCTACTTATATAGGCTTAACTTTAGAAGGCTATTACCCTCCGATTTTGATGAAACTTTACAGGTACGTAGTATTTAATAAATATAGTCGGAGCCATTAGTGAGGAGTTACTGAAATGCCTAGTTTTTCTAAAAATTCAAATTTTAATTATTTGGCCTAATTAACGTTTTTCAAGCTTTCGATATAAAATAATAATTAGAATTTAAAAATATTTTGCTAAAGTGTTTTATTTTATTAGTCTATTATTAGGAAACTATATGTATAGTGTTGTCAAAATATTATAAAAAAAGAAACAATACGAAATCAAGGAAGCTTAATTTCTCATTACATTTTTTGATATCATCGCTTGTTGTTTATTAAAAAGTTATTAACAAAAGAAGTTTTATAAATAAAACGTAATCACAATATATTAGTACAAAATTTCGAGAAACTCAAAAATTTACTTTGCTATTATTTACTAAATCAGTTATTTCTATTTCTATTATTCTGATTTTAATGAAACTCAGGAAAAAATATCTATATTTTAAAAGAAATATCGCAATTTTGTTCATTGTTCTTCTCAAGATAAACATTAAAAAAGCAACGTAAGCAACATAGGTACCCCTGGGGTCAACAGCGCCGATCTCTCTTACAGTTTTCTAATACACTAATAAAATGAAACATTTCAGCAAAATATTGTAACGATGCGCCCCGAAACGCATCATTCCCGGTGAGCATCAGTCGGATGCCGCGCGGCCGAACATCCGCCGGGCGAGACAAGGCACGATGTGCCCTTTTTTAATCAAATCATCTCGCGTATCAGTCCGCGAACGGACTTATCGCGGCAACCGACTCGGAGCGCCGAGCGGTGCCGAAAACGGCCGAAAGCCACCGAACGCAATCGCGGCGTCGCGGCGTCGGGACGCAGTACCTCCCGAACGCTCCGCCGCTCCATCCCGGCGCACGCGATTGCCATCGCGTATACCCCCGCCACGCCGACACACCATCGCGGGTGTATATAAACCAAGCAATTGTCGCTAACTGGCAGATTCCGCCGTGAGCCAGCAACCGATCCGACCGATTCTTCGTTGCTCACGGATCCCGAAATCCCACAGTCGAGCAACCAGGAGGTAGAGAGTTCTCTCTGCCTCTGCCAAGTGAGGTATCTAGGCGGTTGACTCGATCTTTCATCCGAACACCTGTGGCACCGGAGTGAACCAGGGTAAGAGAGTTCTTCTCTTACTCGCCAAGGGTCTTGGCCACCCGGTGCCGCCTCCCGCGTACACGAATCGATGCGCCAGGAGATAGAGAGTACTTCTCTATCTCCGCTAAGGGTCTTAGCCGCTCGATATCGCGTCTAATCACGCTCCAGCGCCGCGCGCGCTTACTGCCGCGGCGCCGCCGCTGTCCGAGCTTACGATGCCGCGTCACCCACGCCGCGATCGTACACCGTATCTCAGTGAGCCCGCGCGCCCGCCGATCCGCGAACTCCGCGATCTCTGTATATCGTCGCTATAACAGCGTCCGCGAACTCCGCGATCTCTGTATATCACCGCCATCGTAACCGGGTCCGCGATCTATTGTACATATCTGTCTACTCCGCGATCTCTGTATACCGCCGCTATCGTAACCGCATCCGTGATCTGCTGTACATATCCATCGCCTCCGCGATCACCTCAATGTATTCACGTTAATTGAATAAACTCTATTACGTTTTTTTTTTTTTTTTATATTTTAACCGAGTCTTGTGTTTTCCTCCGCGCCTACTCCAAACCCTCACCAGCCGCGAGCTAGATCCGCGCTTCGGAAGCTAGGTTGTTTTAATATTTTTGAATTTTAATTATTTTTTTATATCGAAATCTTGAAAAGTTATTTAGACCGTTAGGCGTTAATTAGGCTAAATAATTAAAATTCTCAGACACTATATACTCTATCCAGCAAAAGAACATCCACGGTTATTATATTTAGCGCTCAGGCAAAATAGAGAAAGTGTGGCGCGCTACAAACAATATGTAGGTACCGTTAACGTAAATACGGCACGCTCGGTGTGGAGAGGTGTATCTATGAGCGGATGAGGGGTATCTGCCCGAAACGGACGAGTTTTCATCCAATCTGTGGATGTTATTTCTGAACGGAGTATAGGCATTTCTGCAACTAGTGGCTCCGATTACATTTAGTAAGTACTACGTACCTATAAAATTTCATCAAAATCGGGAGAAATCGCCGTCTAAAGTCTTACCCTTATATTGGGAATGGCTAAACTGCGATACGCTATCTGGTGGCGAAAACAG